TGGTCCCTTTTCCTACATAGTGGCTGACTTTATCCTGTGACAACCTTGCAATAGCAGCACAGGCCCCTGGGTCAGCAAACTTTATTTTCGTTATTTCTTTGCAGGACTGGTCATTCACCTGCAACGTGGTGAGAAGGGAGCAGAACAATTGCTCACTGGGTTCAGCAGCTATCATGAGACTAGTCTGCCTGCCCCTCTGTTCTTTGAATTAGCTCTCTATGAAGTAATGGGTTAATTTTAAAGTCTATGAGGTGGTGATGAAATAACCCAGTTTTGTCAACAATATGAGTATGAAATAGCCCTTCCCTTGAAATTGTCTAGGAGATAGTCAGACCAGAGCGATTTCAATATCTGAAATATCCTAATCAGCCTCAAAAGCAAGGTGGACAATATGACTGACTGTGGAAGCTCTCTGCAACCCCTTGGCTAAAACCCAAGTAGCTACGCATGTTCTTTTTAGCAACTGTTTAAGGTAGGAATCTGTTTTTAGAAATGCACACATTTAAAAGCCCGTACGATATAGCTTTTTTAAAAAACACCTCAACGAACACTGTATTCTATATTGTCACATACAAAAACTATGTTACAAAGACTATGTTTATATATTTATTAACTTTGCAAAGTCAAGCAATTGAAAGTTAGGAAATGCCAGAATCTAGGTGGTCCGTGCAACCTCAATTTGGCCCCCTTGTACATGTAATTATAACAGTCTAATTACATGGTATTTTTTTTCCCTCAGGACCCCTTCCTCCCTTGGTATCTAGGATAGGCAATGTTCTGGATCTGAAACTGCTGTTCACAATGTTTTTATTCTCATCATTCAATTAGTGCATTATTTACCACACATTATCCAAAACCTGCAATACGGGCAGGAAAGGAGAAGCATTTAGTTCCTCAGTCTTTTCTAGGGTATTCATCATGATAGTAACTGAGCGCTTCCCCTAAGAGACCATTAGGGTAAAAGTAAAGGTAAAATTAAGGTAAAAAGACTTGCCTGAGCAAGACATAGTGAAACAAAGCCACGACTGGAACTCATTCCTGCTGACATTACTACCTTATTACACAGGGACTGATCACCCATGCCTCCTATCAACTTAAGTTGCAGTTGTAAGTACTCAGCACTTCTGCTCATCAGGCCCAGGTATCTTATTTTATGTTTCATCCAGAAAACAAGGAACACACAATTAGTGGCCACATGCCAAAATTGTGTCTTGCATAATTTGCTTAGCATCACAATGGAAGACTGTGACGGAAGTAGGGTTAGAAATGAGTTCTCCTATGTGAGATTCACCTGCCTTAACCATAAGACCATCATCTCATTTCCTGCAGTCTCCTACCTTGTTTGCTAACACATCTTCCAACTTCTAGAGCAAATGAAGCTGGAATCCTACAAACAACTTCCTTAACAGCATAATTCTGATTCATTCCTTGGGCACTCTCCATCCTGTTCTTAATGAGGCAAGGGTCCTAGGGAAAAAAATAGTATCCAAATATGTAATTCAAGACTATCCTCATGCATATGGCACAAGGGGGTTGAATTAAGGTTGCATGGGCTGTTCCTTACTTTTGAGCTCCTGACTTTGCAACCTTAATATATGTTTTTAAGCAGTTTCTGCTGTGTAATATCCCATAGGTTTTTTGTTTTTTAAAGGAAAAAGGTAAAAAAAATCTGTAATTGTAATAACCCCTCATCGTGGATCACTGATAGTGCTTGAACTCTGACTGTCCAGCACTACAGGGCAACTCAAGCTACAGGACTAACTGCATTAGCTGGGAGCATGACAAGGCTGGGGTGTGGGAAAGGTAGAATGGCCTGCTGGAGACATGCATGGTGATCAGGGAGAGCTTGCACCCAAGAGAGGGGGTACGCATGGTGGATCCAACATGGAGTGGGCTGTTGAAGGAACCCTAGGCTGGCTCTTTTTCTCTTCCCTACCCCAAGAGATTTAGGGAGTTCCTTCTTACCCATGTGATGTCCAGGTGGAAAGGAAGAGAGGTGCAGGGGCCACATACTGGGTCGGAGGGGTGGAGTTAGTGGAGGGAGCCTCGCCCAGCTGTTTGTTCCAGGGAGTCCCAGGGCAGCGTGAGCTACTATGGCCACAGCTTTGGTGGGAACGTCAGCCCAGTCCTAGATTAGGGCGTTCATGTTGCTGTTATTTCGGTATGACGGAACAAAAGCAGAGAAACGGTGATTTTCTAAAGTTTATGTCTCAACCAAACTTGAATTTCATGGGACAAAAAAAAACTCTGGAGCCAGGTAAGTGCCTTTCTCCCTGCTGAATTTCAAAGGCTGGCTGCAAGCAACATAGGGAGATGTTATAGCTTCTCAAACCAGATTGCAAGTATCTTATAAAACCATGTCGGGCAACTTGTATCCAGGGGTGGCTGCCAGGTCCCCCTATAATAAGACTTGTAAGAAGAAAGCTCTTCCAAGTTGAGGAAGGTGTTTGGGGGGGAGGGGAGGCCAGAGGGGCAGAATTGTGGTTGCAAATTTTGTGGGGGGAAGGGAGTTTGTTAAGCTGCTGCCTCTGGAATCCATGTTGAAAAAGACTACAGGATTTTTTAAAAAGCAAATCACTGTTCTATTTTCTCATAGTGGAGATGGCGGATATTTCGGATCCACAGAACATGAGCTGATGCCAACTGAAGCTAAGGGAAAGAGGCTTATGAACTTCAGTTGGCACTGGATCAGACCCATATATTTTCAGGCCATTAGATTTAATCTGATCTCCTGCATAGTCAAGACCACACAACTTCACTCAGTAATTCATTCAGTGAGATGAATTTGAACTAGAGCACATCTTTTATAAAACATTCAGTCCTGATTTGAAGATTTCAGGTTATGAAGACCCTATCACATCCCCTGATAAGTTACTCCCAAAGATAAGTCACTCCTTGTTAGAAACACAGTATACACTTTTTTCCCAGTTCTAATTTTTCTAGCTTTGATTTCCAGACTTTGGATTTATCAGTTTTTTGTTTTTTTTTTTTAAAACACCTTCATAATAAATACATAATTTTTCCTTTTTGCTTAGTATAAGCTGGGAGTAAATTCAGCTGTATTTAAGGTACTATTTTGAAAAGTTGCAAACTGCAGTGGTAACTAAGACAAACACTAGAAATATACTTTCTATTTCTGTAAAACGGTGGTTTTCAACCTGTGGTCTGCAGAACCCTGGGGGTCCGCACACGCTGTCTAACAGCAACCTTTTGCAGACCTCTTACCATACACTAAAGTGGTTTTCAACCGGGGGTCCGCAGACTATGTCTAAAATTTCCAAAGGGGCCCACACCTCCTTTGAAATTTTTAGGGGTCCGCAAATGAAAAAAAGGTTGAAAACCACTGCTGTAAAAGTCTACAAGTATTGTTATTTATTCAAGGTTTTCCTCTGCAATCTTCAATTTACAATAAATAAATGTTCACATTTGAAATGTATAAGCAAGCAAGTGGGGTAGCCAATGAACAATTCTTTCATGGCAAAAATATTTTCATCTCAGGTCATACCTACAAAGCAACCCTAGAAACGGGTTTTCTTCAAATTAAGTAAAATTTGTTTTAGAAGTAAAAAAAGAAAAAAGGTCTCCTCACTTGTACATTTCAAAATATATCACTTATATAGTGGTGGCCACTTGTTTTCCTGAGCTCTAAACTCTTACTAGATTAACAGTACTTTAAATGAAAGCACCCAATGATGAGAGGCTTTACACTAATAAAATTTGCTGAAGACTTGGTCTTACCTTCATCAATTATCACACTATAAGGCCAAATATAGCAGGGGCAGTTGAGATTCTAGCACAATATAAAGTGAGTCAGAAATTTCAGAACCAGGCAAAGTAATGCAGTTAAGACACAAAACTGTACTGTTACAAGTATTCCAGTGAGCTTTTACCATAAAAAAAAAATCAAACTGACTATGCTCAGAACGATCTAAGCCACAGCAAATTCAAAGTAATCTCTCTTTCCTGTAAAATGACCCAAATATATTTTAAAGTTCTCATTGTAGCACCAGCACTCGGATACAGTTGGCTGCAACAGAATATTAACTCTTCATGCCACATTTGCAATTATGATTTTGAATACACGGGCAGGGACAATATACAGTTAGTGTACCACCGCTTTATGCCAATTCCAAAATTTAATTTTAAAAACACAGTCAGAACAACGTTATAAGTGATAGGTTTTTAAAATATTAACCTCTAAAATCATTTTAACTTTAAATATTGAACATTTAAACTATTTGCTTCTCTTTGAAAATTTCCTATTCAGCATAAAGGTGACTGTTCTTATTACTCCTTTGTCAACTCAGTTAAAATGGCTGAAGCAAATTTTTATTGTATGGATGTAGACAGACTTTTAATATTAAAGTCAGTTTTGATTACCATTTGTATTACTGCAGTACCTAAGAATCACCTAAGAAAAGTTTTGGCCTGCAAAATATATGACTACCATGAAGTATAATTTCTCTTTATGTAAGAGAAGGGTGGCTAAAATATTGAGGCAAATTCCAAAGGGAAGTAAAAATGGAGTCATGTATTTCACCTGCTTCCTAGATAGTTGATAATTCCATGTTCCCACCACTTCTACTTAGGTGTAAAAATACAATTCAGGATTCCACCATTTGCATTAGTAAATTTCCAATATGTCTTTAAGATATAAATATTCTGTATATAACATTTGAGAACTTCTGAGTATCTTTATTCAGATCACCCACATAGATTTTTAAGACAACTCAACTTTTATAACTCAAAATAAATTTTACAAAGTATGACATCATTAGATATCAAACCTACTTTTCTGTTTTGAATATAGCATGTCTATATTTAAAACAAGTCATTCGATCCACTTAGAGGATGAAATGCACATTTTTCCCAAAGTCATCTTCTTTGGGTTAATAAACTGTTAAAAATATACTCCCATCTAGTGAAGCAAGAAAATCTGACATGTGTAAAGCCACTCTAGGCATTGAACAATGCTCAAATAAAAAGAGTACCTCAAAATATAAAAAAAACCTGTTAGGATTTATTCCACTTTTAAAGAAGCAGCTATAATTCCAAAATATCTTCAAATAAGCAACTGGAGTTACAAAAGTACACATCAGACTTGAATGTCCTGATTGGTGATAAATGTCCACTTTATCTTTACGTATAGATGTTGTTATGAATTTCATTGGTTGTCACTAATTTCTTCAGTATCTCTGTGCTTTTGGACATATCCTAGTAAAATAAAGAAATAGTCATCACTAGTAGGTTACACAACCGTTCAATCATACCCACTCAAAACTTTATTACAGTGAATAGCAATATGATTAAAACACGAACTACAGTAACTCCTCACTTAACATTGTAGTTATCTTCCTGAAAAATGCAAGTAAGCGAAACCATGTTAAACGAATCCAATTTCCCCCTAAGAATGAATAGAAATGGGGGGTTGGTACACAGCAATGACGACTGTGAAGTTTGGTTGAGGTGGTGAAGTCAGAGAGTGGAAGAGGATGGGATATTTCCCAGGGAATGCCTTACTGCTAAATGATGAACTAGCACTCGGCTGAGCCCTCAACAGTTAAAAGAAAAGGAGGACTTGCGGCACCTTAGAGACTAACAAATTTATTTGAGCATAAGCTTCCGTGAGCTACAGCTCACTTCATTGGATGCATACAGTGGAAAATACAGTGGGGAGATTTTATATACACAGAGAACGTGAAACAATGGGTGTTACCATACAGACTGTAACAAGAGTGATCAGGAAAGGTAAGCTATTACCAGCAGGAGAGTCGGGGGGGCGGCGGGGGGAAAAAAGAGAACCTTTTGTAGTGATAATCAAGGTGGGCCATTCCCAGCAGTTGACAAGAACGTCTGAGGAACAGTGGGGGGGGGGGGACGGGGACGGGAATATACATGGGGAAATAGTTTTACTTTGTGTAATGACCCATCCACTCCCAGTCTCTATTCAAGCCGAAGTTAATTGTATCCAGTTTGCAAATTAATTCCAATTCAGCAGTCTCTCCTTGGAGTCTGTTTTTGAAGTTTTTTTGTTGAAGAATTGCTACTTTTAGGTCTGTAATCGAGTGACCAAAGAGACTGAAGTGTTCTCTGACTGGTTTTTGAATATTCTAATTCTTGACGTCTGATTTGTGTCCATTTATTTTTTTACATAGAGACTGCCCAGTTTGGCCAATGTACATGGCAGAGGGGCATTGCTGGCGCATGATGGCATATATCATATTGGTAGATGCGCAGGTGAACGAGCCTCTGATAGTGTGGCTGATGTGATTAGGCCCTGTGATGGTGTCCCCTGAATAGATATGTGGACACAGTTGGCAATGGGCTTCTTTGCAAGGATAGGTTCCTGGGTTAGTGTTTTTGTTGTGTGGTTGCTGGTGAGTATTTGCTTCAGGTTGGGGGCCTGTCTGTAAGCAAGGACTGCCTGTCTCCCAAGATCTGTGAGAGTGATGCGTTGTCCTTTAGGATAGGTTATAGATCCTTGATGATGCATTGGAGAGGTTTTAGTTGGGGGCTGAAGGTGATGGCTAGTGGCGTTCTGTTATTTTCTTTGTTGAGCCTGTCCTGTAGTAGGTGACTTCTGGGTACTCTTCTGGCTCTGTCAATCTGTTTCTTCACTTCAGCAGGTGGGTACTGTAGTTGTAAGAACGCTTGATAGAGATCTTGTAGGTGTTTGTCTCTGTCTGAGGGGTTGGAGCAAATGCGGTTGTATCGTAGAGCTTGGCTGTAGACAATGGATCGTGTGGTGTGGTCTCGATGAAAGCTGGAGGCATGTAGGTAAGTATAGCGGTCAGTAGGTTTCCGGTATAGGGTGGTGTTTATGTGAGCATTGCTTATTAGCACCGTAGTGTCCAGGAAGTGGATCTCTTGTGTGGACTGGTCTAGGCTGAGGTTGATGGTGGGATGGAAATTGTTGAAACCAGGGTGGAATTCCTCAAGGGTTTCTTTTCCATGGGTCCAGATGATGAAGACGTCATCAATGTAGCGCAAGTAGAGTAGGGGCATTAGGGGACAAGAGCTGAGGAAGCGTTGTTCTAAGTCAGCCATAAAAATGTTGGCATTCTGTGGAGCCATGCGGGTACCCATAGCAGTGCTGCTGATTTGAAGGTATACATTGTCCCCAAATGTGAAATAGTTGTGGGTGAGGACAAAGTCACAAAGTTCAGCCACCAGGTTTGCCGTGGTATTATTGGGGATACTGTTCGTGATGGCTTGTAGTCCATCTTTGTGTGGAATGTTGGTGTAGACGGCTTCTACATCCATAGTGGCTAGGATGGTGTTTTCAGGGAGATCACCAATGGATTGTAGTTTCCTCAGGAAGTCAGTGGTGTCTCGAAGATAGCTGGGAGTGCTGGTAGCGAACGGCCTGAGGAGGGAGTCTACATAGCCAGACAATCCTGCTGTCAGGGTGCCAATGCCTGAGATGATGGGGCGCCCAGGATTTCCAGGTTTATGGATCTTGGGTAGCAGATAGAATACCCCTGGTCAGGGTTCTAGGGGTGTGTCTGTGCGGATTTGTTAACACATTGTTGTTAATGTAGCCTCACACTCAACAAGGCAGCACGAATGGAGGGAGGGGAGACAGCATGGCAGAGACAGACAGACACGAGCATTGCCCCTTTAAGCGCGATGACCCCAGTGTAAGTACATTACCTTTTTAAGTAGATCAGCAAGTTGAGATAGCAGCTGCTGCTAGCAAGCTCCCTCTGGAGCCCTGTTGTGTCCCCCGCACTGCTCTGTAGAGCAGGGTGGGGGTGGCAGGAGCGGGGGACATTCTGACATTAGCACCCCTCTTCCGCCCCACCCTTTGGACAGCAAGCAGTAGGCTCCTGGGAGCAGCTCCAAGGCAGAGGACAGGAGCAGCACACGGCAGTGGGGGGAGGGACAGCTCAACTGCTCGGCAATCAGGGCTGTCCCTAGCCATTTTGGTGCCCTACGCAGCTCCCCAGCGGATGCAGGAGTAGGCTTGAGGGGCAGGAGAGAAACCGACCCCCAGCACGAGCCGGCGGAGCAGAGCGGCCTGGGGCTGGGTTGCTCCACTTCCCACCGCCGGGTGATTGTAGGGTAGGCCCAACCCCGCACTCACGGGGCGGCGGGAAGTGGAGCGACCTGGCCCCAGCCTGCTCCGCTCTGCTCCCCTGGCTCCCAGCCTTGGGACTTGGTGGGGGGCAGGGGGGAACTGTCCCCCAGCACTCACCAGCAGCATGGCTGGGAGATGGTGGAGCGGAGCGGGCTGGGTCGCTCCACTTCCTGCCATCTGGTGAGTGCAGGGTGTGCTTGATTCCTGCTGCAGTCCCCCGTGGATGTAGCTCAGGGGAAGGGGTTGAGTGGGGACAGGGCTGCAGCAGGAGTGGGGGCAGGGTTGGGGCAGAGCAGGGGTGGGAGGAGGTGGGGTGGGTGCACAGCAGGGGTGGGGGCTTTGGGAAAGAGGCGGAGCAGGGGCGGGAGCAGGCTGGCTCCCAGGGGATCAGGCTGGCTGCTGGAGCAGAACGCAGCTGCACAGCCACCAGGAAATTTGCATATGAGTAAGGACGGCCCTGCTGGGCAGCTGCCGCACAGGAAATTTAGGGGGGCTGGTGGTCCACCCTGGTTCCAAGCCTCCATGACTAGCTCCAGCTCCAATGGGCTGCTCTTTCTGCAAGCAGTGGACAAAGCAGGCGGCTGCCAAACAACTTATAAGGGGGCATTGCACAACGAGCATGTTCTCTAATTGATCAGCAACGTAACTGGGACGACTTTAAGTGAGGAGTTACTGTATAAGTAAGAGTCAGGTGTTATGAAAGAAGATATCTAGAGAGCCAGTGAAAGCTCCAAAGGTCTCCAGTTGAATCACACACCGGGACTTGTTAACCTGTATTCCCCCCCTCAAATAGTAACATCCACAAAAGGGAGGAGGAAGGAGGCTGTATTTTTATTTCCCCTCAACAAAATTCTAATATCAATTTAGAAGACTTGTTGTAACCTAAAATTCATAGGTGGTATCTGAAACCTGGAATTTGCATCTCAGTCACAGCTGAAACCTGAGCATTTCAAAGATTCTCCTACCAATCACTTTTTCCATTTAAACTCACGTTCAACTGGCAAAAGCAGGGCAAGTACTTTACAGAAGCCATTCTGTAAACAAACATTTTAAAAAAAAGGAAAATACTCAACTTTTTGCTTGCTGATGGAGACAGTGTGGCCCAGTGGATAGAGCACTAGACTAGGACTCAGAAGACCTGACCGTTTAGGGGACTTTGGTCCTAAATTTCTTTTGAAAATGAGATTTTGGCTCCTAAATCAGTTAGGTGTTGCAATACTGAGCATACCAAGGCAAAAATACCTTTAAAAATCTGGCCCTTTATGATTAATATGTCCCTGAAGTTTGTACTCTTTCAGCTTTAAGAGAAGTTGATATAACTAAAAAAAATTGTTTTCAAAATAATGTTTAAATGAGATCTAGAATGGCTCTCATCTGATACACAGCTAATAGAATAGCGCCATTTTGACTATGGATGCACAGTTGTAAGATATTAGCTCACGGATCAGTAAGCAACAGGAGTAGCTTAGAGGCTTTTAATAAGATCTATAGGAAGTTCTAGTTACAATAGTCACTTGAAGTTATTCCTTTAAATACCTGATTATAATAAATTCAAAAATGAAATGATTCTTGTGAATCTAGAGCTTCTATCACAGAAGGAAGCAGCTTAAGGAATTTAAGTGTTCCAATTTCTAAGGTTTATATTTAGGAAGGTCTGTTAATCCAAGTTTGTCTCTTTCTCAAATACAGACGCTCCCCGACTTACGCAATCGTTCCGTTCCAGATAGCCTTGTGTAACCCAAATTTTACGTAAGTCGGAAACGTATATTGTGCAAGCATAAAAAAACCCAAACAAACAATTACAACAATTAAAAATATTGCATTTACATAAGAATGGCTATACTGGGTCAGAGCAAAGGTCCATCCAGCCCAGTATCCTGTCTGCTGACACTGGCCAATGCCAGGTGCCCCAGAGGGAGTGAACTTAACAGGTAATGATTTAGTGATCTCTCTCCTGCCATCCATCTCCATCCTCTGACAAACAGAGGCTAGGGACACCATTCCTTACCCATCCTGGCTAATAGCCATTAATGGACTTAACCTCCATGAATGGACTGAACCTCCAGTTCTCTTTTAAACCCTGTTATAGTCCTAGCCTTCACAAACTCCTCAGGCAAGGAGTTCCACAGGTTGA